CTCTGAGCGTTGAGCGCCGCACACGTGGCTTATGGGGATTCCCACGGGCGTTCTTTCGCCGAGAGGACCGCGCGGGGCCGATGAAAGGGGTGCGGGGGCGAACCGGCCCTTCGATCACCCGTATCATCCACTCCCCCATGTACCAGGCCCTCCTCACCCGACGCTACCTCACGAGCAAGGTCATGCCCCTGCTCAGCGCCCTCGCGGTCATGCTCTGCTCCGCGATGGTCCTCGTCGTCTGGTCCGTCATGGGCGGGTTCCTCACCACCATGCTCGCCTCCGGCAAGACCATCATCGGCGACGTCGCGATCAGCGTCCCCCTGCCCCGCGGCATCCCCTTTTATGAAGAGCTCGTCGAGCGTTTGGAATCCGACCCGTCCGTCGAGGCCGCGTCGCCGCTCATCGAGACGATGGGCCTGGCCGCGTTCGACGCCGAGCAGCGGCGCATGGTGGGCGTGATGGGCGTCGACCCCGAGTCCTTCCACGACGTGACCGGCTTCTTCGACTGGCAGCACTGGAAGCAGCTCGACCCGCCGGCGGAAGGGGAGCCGCCGCTCGATCTCCGCGCCGACCCCGCGTGGCGCGACGCGATGGCGATCGCGGAGGACGCCGGGCGCAAACTCGAAGAGATCAGCCCCGTCACGAACGTCCGCGTCCCCGCGGCGGTCCCGGGCATCGAGGTCTCCCGCGCCAACCAGCGCTACCCGGGCAACGTCTACGAGCCGACGTGGATGATCGGCTTCATGGAGGAGCTCACGCTTTCCGTCCTCCCGCTGAGCCAGAAGGGGAGCGTGATCGACCTGGAGTCCCGCCAGCTCCCCATCGCGAACGAGTTCCGCACGGGCTTGTGGGAGACGGACGCGAACAACGTCATCGTCCCGCTGGGCGTCCTGCAGGAGATGATGAACCTGCAGGCGGGGCAGCGGGTGGTGCCCTCGTTCGAGTTCTCGCAGGTCGAGGTCGACCCCGAGACTGGCGAGGAGCGGTTCATCCCGCTCGAGTACGCCGAGCCCATCCCCGCGCGCGTCACCGCGATCTACCTCAAGGGCGCGCCGGGCGTCACGCCGAAAGAGCTCGACAAGGTGGCCGAGCGCATCTACCTCGAGCACCACGAGGCGCACCCGGAAGACGTGTTCATCTCCGCGGACGGCATCGGGCCGGACGCGCGATGGCGAGAGATCCTGATCTACACCTGGGAAGAGAAGCCGGGGCTCAAGACGTTCATCGCGGCGGTCAAGAAGGAGACGGGCCTCGTGCTCATCCTCTTCGCGTTCATCTCGATGACGGCGGTGTTCCTCGTGCTGGCGATTTTCTGGTCGATGATCTCGGAAAAGACGCGGGACATCGGCATCCTGCGCGCCGTCGGCGCGAGCCGCGCGGGCGTGGCGTGGCTCTTCATCCGCTACGGCCTCGCGATCGGGATCGTCGGCGCCGTCGCCGGCGTCATCCTCGCGCACGCGGTGGTGTGGAACATCAACGCCATCCACGACGGGCTCGGCAAGCTCGGCATCGTCATCTGGGACCCGCAGACCTATTACTTCGCCGAGATCCCGAGCGAGGTCGACCCCGTGCACGCGTTGTACGTGCTCGTCGCCGGCATCCTCGCGTCCGCCCTCGGCGCCATCGTCCCCGCCCTCCGCGCCGGCTCGTACGACCCCGTCAAAGCGCTGAGGTTCGAGTAACCCCCCCCGCCCCCCGGAAGTTTTCATCGCCGTGACGATTCTCGCCGCTCACAACCTGCACAAGACCTACCGCCTCGGGCGCGTCAACGTCCCCGTGCTCCACGGCACGTCCATCGACGTCCGCGAGGGCGAGTGCGTCGCGATCCTCGGCGCATCGGGCTCGGGCAAGTCGACGCTGCTCCACCTTCTCGGCGGCCTCGACCGGCCGGACAAATCCGGGGGGAATGGAAAGGGCGCGGCGCAGCGCATCACCTTCAACGGCGAGGACATCACCGCCTACGGCCAGCGCGAGCTGAACCGCTACCGCACGAGCGCCGTGGGCTTCGTCTTCCAGTTCTACCACCTGCTCCCCGAGCTGAACGTGCGGGACAACGTCCTCGTCCCCGCGATGGTCAAGCTGGGCCGCGTCGGCTTCGCGAAGCAGCGGGCCGACCTGCGCGGGCGCGCGGAGAAGCTGCTGGACCGCTTCGGCCTCGCGCACCGCCTGGCCCACCGCCCAGCCGAGCTGTCGGGCGGCGAACGCCAGCGCGTCGCCATCGCGCGAGCCCTGATCAACGAGCCGCCCCTCCTGCTCGCGGACGAGCCGACGGGCAACCTCGACGAGCACACCGGCGCGAGCATCCTCGACGCGATGATGGAATTCAAACGCGCGACGAACCAGACGATGGTCATCGTGACGCACGACAAGCACACGGCGGAGCGCGCGGACCGGATCGTGCGGCTGAAGGACGGGCTCGTCGTCGAGCAGGGGTAACAACCGCGAACGGCAGTGAGCGGGCCGGTGGATGGCGCCATGCGAGGCGACTCTCGTTGCATGTCTCGCAGCCCGGCCGCTGACGCTCCCGGTTGTCTTTGTGTGAGCGCAGCACGAAGGCAACCGCGACCGTGAGGGAGCGGGCTCGTCCGTTGCCCTTGCATCGCTGTCGTCGGAGCGTGTGTTACGATCTACTTATGTCTCGCGATCCGATCGCCTTCTTCATCACCTTTCGCACGTACGGCACGTGGCTCCCGGGAGACGAGCGCGGCTACACGCACCACAGCGAGAGTTCCCGCGGCGCCAAGCAGCGGCTGCCGAGCAAGGGGCTGCAGATCCACGCTCAGGCCGCGCGATCCGCGGAGCACGTCGAACTGTGCGGAGCATGCAGGCGCGTCGTCGATCGAACAATCCGCGAGGTGTGCGAGCACAAGGGATGGAGGCTGCTCGCCCTGAACGTCCGCACGAACCACGTGCACGTCGTCGTGCACGGCGACACGACACCGGAGCGGATGATGAACGCGTTCAAGTCGTGGTGCACGAGGCGGCTCAGGGATGAGGGGCTGGCCGACAAGGAACAGAGAGTATGGGGGGAGCACGGCAGCACTCGGTATCTCTATGAGGAGAGCGGGTATGCGCGAGCGGTGTGGTACACCACCGAGGGGCAGGATGGCGAGGGGTATCAGCGGAAAAACGAGATGCGATGAGTGCGGGGATGGACGAGCCCGGTCGCTGACGCTCCCGGTTGTCTTTGAGTGATCGGAGCACGAAGACAACCGCGACCGTGAGGGAGTGGGCTGTTGGGTAGCTCATGCTTGTTGCATCTCGTTGCATGTCTTGCAGCCCGGTCGCTGACGCTCCCGGTTGTCTTTGAGTGATCGGAGCACGAAGACAACCGCGACCGTGAGGGAGCGGGCTGTTGGGTAGCTCATGCTTGTTGCATCTCGCTGCATGTCTTGCAGCCGGTCGCTGACGCTCCCGGTTGTCTTTGTGTGAGCGCAGCACGAAGACAACCGCGACCGTCAGGGAGCGGGCACGCCCGCACCCACCTGCCATCCCGACCGACCACCAAGCATCCAAAAACAAAGCCACCCGGAACCTTGCGATTCCGGGTGGCTCATCCGCACCGTGTGGCGGGCCTCCAAGGCCCGCCGGTGCTCAACGCTCAGGTTGTCCGCGCGTCGGCGTGTCCGTGTCAGTGCGGTCGGAAGAGAGAGGGTTGATTCCTCAGAACATCTCGGTCAGGTCGGTCAGTTCCCGATCACCAGACGCGTCGCACGCACCTCGCGTGTGTCGTTCACGTGCAGGCCGTCCTTGCGGACGTCGATCGTGTCCGGCGTCTCGAACGTCGACTCGTGGACCTCCTGAGACTTCTCGTAGACCTGCTTCGCCGCCTGCTCGGACTCGAGCATGCGCTTCGCGGCCTCCTCGTACGTCTCACGCGGGCCGCTCGCGAGCGACTCGAACTTCGCTTCCTGCTCGGCGCGGATCTTGGCCATCCGCTGCATGACCTGGTCGAGGCTCGACGCCTCGGTCTTGCCGAGACGGTCGATCGAGCGCTCGCGCTCCTCGAAGATGTCGAGCATCTTCTCGTTGCGGGCGATCATCTCGATCTCGGAATCGAGCTGCCAGACCTGGGCCTGGAACGTGGTCCGCTCCGTCTCGAGCTCGGCGAGGAGCCCTTCCAGACGGTCGCGCTGCGTCGCGAGGAGCGACATCGAGTCCGAGGCGTTCGCCGCGCGGTTGCGGTAGGCGCTCACCGTGCTCTGGAGCTCCGCGGCCTTGGTGTAGGCCTGGTCCAGCGCGATGTGGCGGTTGTCGAAGTTCACGCGGATGATCGCGCCGGGCGAATCCATGCGGGCGTCCTGCGCCATCTGGATCAGCTCGTTGAGCTCGTCGTAATCGGCGCTCGCCAGATCGACGACTTTCTGCGCGACCTCACGGTCCTTCTCGAGGCTCGCCATCTGCGACTCGAGCTCGGCGAGCTCGCCTCGGACCTGCGCGATCTTCTTCGGGTACTCCTGCTCGAGCTGACGGAGCTGCGAGCGGAGGGCGACCGGGTCCTGGATCGCGTTATCGATCTTCTCGTTGACGAAGCCGCGGGCCTGTCCAGCGATCGCGTTCACGCGGGAAGGACCCGCGATGACGACCGCTGCCCCGACCAGCAATCCGCCGATCACGCCGACCCGCACGACATTCTTGATGATGGACATGGCTTTCCTTTCGTTGAATCTCTCAGGCCCGGAGCGTTGACTCGCCGGGCCGGACGTTCGTGGTGACGACAACTTGATGGGAAGCCCCGCGGGTCGATTTCACGCCCCATTCGCGCCGCCGCAAAAAACCCGCGACCGCCCCTGACGCCCTCAAAAACCCACAAAAAAGCGGGCCATGTCCCGCGAGGAGCCCAAAAAGACGCCATGAAACTCCGAGATGGGCGTATTCTTGGATCGCGGGCCGGGCGCGCCGGCGGTCGCCCGACCCGCAAAATCGCCCGTCTCTCTCCCCCAAGCAGACTCCGGGAGGGGTGACCCCCTCACCCCCGCCCACCCACCGCCGCCTGATCCATGCTCAACAACCTCACCACCAATTTCATCGGACGCCTCCGCGCCCGCGACACCGCCGCCTGGTACGAGCTCTGGGAGACCTTCGGCCCCGTCCTCCGCGCCCAGCTCGCGAAGTGGGGGCGCGGGCGCATCGGCCCCGAGACCGTCCGCGACCTCTCCCAGGAAACCCTCGCGGCCCTCTCCGATTCCATCGACCGCTACGACCCTTCCCACGGCGCCCGATTCAGCACCTGGCTCCTCGCCATCGCCAAGCACACGCTGGGCGACGAGATCGACCGCCGCATGGCGCAGAAGCGGAATTCCGGCAAAAAGGCCGCGGCGCTTGAGGAATCGTGGATGGTGGAAGCGGGGGGCCAATCGCCCGACGGCGAGTACGAGGCGGCCGTGTTCCGGGCGAAGGTCTACGCCGCGATCCGGATGGTGGAGAAGGAGTCCGACTTCATGGACTTCACGATCTATCGGATGCGTGTCTTCGACGGGACGGCGGGCAAGGACGTGGCGGACCAGCTGGGGACGAGCGAGCCGACGGTGAGCCGGCGGCTCTCGAAGGTCCGGGAGACGCTCCGGTCCCGCCTGGGGGAGGTGATCGCCACCTACAGCTTCACGTCCGAGGAAATGAGCGAGGCCGAGCGAAACGGCCTCTCGCCGAATCCGAGTAAGGCAGACGACGCCATGTTCGACGAGGCCATCGCCGAGATCCACCGGCGAGAAACCGAAAGTCGGATGAACGACGAGGCGTCCTGGACCGACGCGTAAGCACACCGGGCCGGCGGAGTGGGCCGGCCCCCGAAAAGAGAATCGCCATGGGAACTCTCGTCATCGTCCTCGGAAGCATGTTCGCCTTCCTGATCGCGATCTTCGCGATCATCTACATCGCCGTGCCCGTGTTCAAGGGCATCGGCTGGCTCATCGGGGCGTTCTTCAAGGGCGTCGGCTGGTTCTTCATGCACGTCTTCCAGTTCGTCGCCGGCATGCTGACGGACACCGTCCGCGCCGTCGGCGCGATCATCGCCACGGTCGCCTTCGTCCCCCTCGTCATCCTCAACATCGTCATCGGACGCTGGTCCGCCAGCGCGCACTTCGGGCGCGCCGTCAAGGACGAGGTCGCCACCTTCGGCCACTGCGTCTACCGCGTCGCCATCGGCCACCCCCTCCGCCTGCTCCTGCTCAACGGGCTGGTCGAGGGGATCGAGCAGCGCGTCCCCGCGGCCGTCGCCGCCGCGCCGGGCTCGGACAAGCCCTCCAAGCGCACCGGCGCGTTCGACGGCTACACGATCGTCGGCTCGCTCAAGACGGGCGGCTCGGGCGGCAAGCTCTACGTCGCTGAGCCGGACGAGGTGAAACTCGCGGCGTTCGCCCGCGCGGGCGTGCAGGACGTCGAGCAGGTCGTCATCAAGTCGTTCTCCCTGCGCGACGGCTCGTCGATGCCGCAGATCGTCCGCGAGAGCCGGGCGCTGGAAGCGGCGCGCAAGCTGGGCCTCGTCCTCGAGCACGACATGGGCGAGGAGCGGTTCTACTACGTGATGCGCTACGTCCCGGGCGACGACCTCACCGCCGTCACCAAGCGCCTCCACACGCCGACCGGCAACCTGGGCCTCACGAAGGAATCGCTCCGCGAGGCGATGGGCTACATGTCCGACCTGCTCGCGACGCTCAACACGTTCCACTCCGGCGGCCTCTGGCACAAGGACGTGAAGCCCGACAACATCATCGTCCACGACGGCAAGGCCCACCTCGTCGACTTCGGCCTCATCACGCCGCTGCGCTCGGGCATGACGCTCACCACCCACGGCACCGAGTACTTCCGCGACCCCGAGCTGGTCCGCATGGCCCTCCGCGGCGCGAAGGTGCACGAGGTCGAGGGCGAGAAGTTCGACGTCTACGGCGCCGGCGCGGTGCTGTACTCCGTCATCGAGAATTCCTTCCCCGCGCACGGCGGGCTCAGCCAGATCACCAAGCGTTGCCCGGAATCGCTCCGCTGGATCGTCCGCCGCGCGATGACCGACCTGAACAAGCGCTACCCGGACGCGAACACGATGCTCGCGGACGTGCGCGCCGTGATGCACGCGCCGGACCCCTTCGCGCTCCGCCCGGCGGACCTCCCGTCGATGCGCGGCGAGTCCGCGGACGGGTTCATCGGCTACGACGAACCGGAGGACGAGGCGTCGTCCACGCCCGACGCGACGCCCGTCGCCGAGGCGCCCAAGCCCGACGAGACCCCCGAGCCTGAGCCCGCGTTCGTGCGCCAGGCGGCGTCGTCGGTGCCCCCGCGCGAGCCGCAGCCGGCGCCGACGGCGCAGCGCGTCGCGCCGCGCCTGCGCGTGACCGACTGGATCTCGGGGCGCTACATCGCGGTGGGCGAGGACGTCGTCG